TGACTCACTCAATGCAACATCAGCTAAAACACCACAAGTATGTAATGTACATACAGGTAGCAAACATAAGCCAATGATATTTTGTTTTTTTGTATATTCAATAATAAATCATGCAGTTAATAATTTGTGGCTGTCCACTTAATATAAGTAATTGCAGTATGGAAGGCATTGAAAATGATACCAGTAATCCTTTGATTCTAATGTGTGACTGTATGAAAGGTAAATAAATCCACACCAATTACTTTGTTAATAATTTTTAATAAAATTAATATTAAACATAAAATAAGTGTAGCATACACAATGAATGTGCTACTAGTCCAAAATTTTTAAGGGGTGTATAATTCACAAATTATTGAAGATTTGCATAAATAAAGCAATATAATAGAGTGAAGATGCTATCAGTAAAAATTTGTGAAAACTAAATTAGAAAAACATATGATTTTATGTAATTTAATGTCTTTGAATATTTGGCACTGAATCATATCTTTTTTAAAAATAATAGCATATGAAGGAAATTATTGTGAGGATGATTTTGATGGTTGTACTGAAGTATCATGCTTCAATGATGCTACATGTACTGATGTACCAGCACCTGGAACTGGTGCCACTTGCCCACCTTGTCCTAGTGGATACACTGGAGATGGAATTGTTTGTAATAATGGTCAGTTATGTTAGTTATCAAAGCTTATATGTGTCATACAATAATATTTGTATATACTGTAGATAGTGTAATCCCAAATTTTGATTTTTACAATAGACAGTAAAATTAATTTTTTAATAGAACGTGGGGAAGTGTTTCTTCCATTCCTTTATCCATCAAATTATAGTGTGTTTACTGATGTTGTTGATGGTTCTGCTAATGTTGCACTACCAGCTACACTTCAGTTTGGAGGCATTTCCTATAACATAGCTTATGTGAGTTTAAGCTGTTCAATTTATTACAAGTTAAATTTTAACAGATTAGCAGCCATGGATTGATCAGCTTTGGCAGTGTTTATAATGCCTATATTCCAAGGAACTTCCCTCTTGATAATAATTTAGCTGTTGTGGCTCCATATTGGGATGACAGTATTTTGTCAGGATCGAGACAGTTACGCTATCAAATTGTGTCTGGATCATCTTCTCTTATCTCTCAAGTCAATACCTTTTTATCCAGTTTTATAGAGGATAACTTTGAAGCTGATTGGTTGCTGTGGGCTTACTGGCATGATGTATGTTCTTATGATGATTCTATCTGTTCGGAGCATGAGGTACCTAATACTATAATGCACATTCATTTTTATTGTATCATCAATTTTGCAATCATAGTCAAACTTTTTTCAAGTGACTATAGCAGTACAAGGAAGCGTAACATATTCAATATTTACATATCAGTGTAATCTCATCAGATGGACTCTTTATAATGCTGCTGTTGGTTACAGTGTAAATGGTACCTTTTTTGAAAACCACCAATTGTCAAGGAATAGGAGTGTAGTTAATATTGATTGTAAAGGAGCTGTATCTAACTGGACTAATGTTGTTTACAGAATTGATGATCTTTGTAAGTTGTAATAATTGTCACAATTTTGAATGAAGCCTAAACTTATTCTTTGTATTCATCTGAATCATTTTGTTAATTATAATAATCTTTTTCCACAGCCACTACTGCTAATACTCCGCCAGTCATTGAAGCTAGTGAAAATTTTATGATAGCAGTAGGAGAAACAGCATTATACACACTACGTATCACAGACCCTGGAGACTCTATCAGTGTTACTATTGAATTTGATGGAGAGCTTCCATACACATTTAATCAAGATGGATCAATATGGACACTTAATGTAACACTGTCTTCTTTAGTGGAGTTCAATTTTACTGTGATAGCTACTGACTCATTCAACGCAACATCAACTATAACTCCACAAGTATGTATTAGTTTTTTTATGTTACAAGTAAAATTAAAATATAA